ACATTTCATGTTAGCAATATGCGCTCTACCTATTCTTATAAAATTTTTGTTGCAGCACGGACTTTAAGAAGGATTTCGATCAGAGCGCACAAAACAGTTGGAGATGTGCTCTATTCCCCATTCTGCAGAAAGGCGGATGACCGAGGAAATCATCTTGGTATGCATTGGTTTCTACGGGTATGATAGAACGTTCTTTCTCATCTCAACACGATCGGTAAAGTATTTACCGCTCGGAACCCAAATAATATATTATATATATTTCATATCATTATTATATGATATTGTATCATATATAACATATTATATTTCACAACTACGGAGCGTGAACAGTTCCTAGTAAGACTACCACGTTTGGCAAATTTTGACTCATCCATTCTAATCAGCAACTTGCATCCCTTTAAAAAATTGACGATTAGGTAAAAGGAAGCTATTTTTTCCGTCAGTAAAACAAGTGGAGACCACCGACGTCAAAGAAGTGAGCAAGATTGTAATACAGATGAATGCATGGACAACGGCTATGCAGGGTGGGATGCGCGCAACGCTCGCAGTTGTCGTTTTATGGATTTCCATACGCGGTCTTGGTGAACACCGACCAGCCCTCCTGCGATTCGGTGATTTAGTGAGGGAGGAGTGAATCCGCCTGTTGCATGTGAACACCGTTTTTCTCCTTATCCTTAAAGTAGATTGAACGACACGTGGGATTCAGAGCGCATCTGCAAAAAGCAAACATGAGAACAATAAAGTCTTACCTGTTTGACGCCAAACAACTCAATTTTAAAACAACTCAATTTTAAAAATGAATTCCTTATGGCCTTTAAATCAACAAACCGGTGTATTTTATTGAGTGCCCGCGTTTTATCATTCAGAGCGCATGTTATTTTTGCTTTTACATGTTCCGATGATGTGAGTTACCTCTAACTCATTTCAAATTGTTTTGCGTTTCCGAGGATTCTGTTACAGTGGAGGCTGGAAACGTATTGCTCTATTAAGACTATTTAATATAGTCCGGTTGACGCCCAAACAGATTGGGGTCTATTGTCGAACCATGGCTCGACTGCATCACACTTGCAGGGTGGATCTTGTTTGGCATTTCTCATGTGTTTTGTAACGCGCGGTCTGTAAGATTGCTAGGAAAACTATGTTCCATACAAGTTTGCCTAGCGGTGAATCTCGAATGGGCTTCCAATGGGTCTCTCGTTTGCGTGGTTCTGTGGTCGGTTGACCATTGAGAGGAGACAGATGGACCTGAATCACGTTGAGTTGTTTCAGAGTTTTACTAACGGGTATCTCTCACGCACGCGATAGTTTGTTGCGCGGTAGATGATTGTTCCGAAGGCATTCAGCGGCCAGCCTTTCCGTCAAAAAAGATTTCCACAGCAAGTAAGACAAACCGAACGTCCTGAGGCCAAAGATGCTCATGTTTAGACTAGATTAATATTTAATACTTGGAATGCACCATTTTTTAACACAGGTGAATTTATTGGTTGTTGAAATGTGGGTATCGGTCCGTTCGCCAGCTTACCGAATACCTAGCAAGAGTTTCGTCATGCGAGTAGATATAATCATTGCGAATTCAGGTGGGATCAGATCAACAGCCATCTGCCCAACAGCCAATTGGAATAACCGAAATTCACGTTTTGACCAGTGTGCCTCAAAGAATTCCGCTAACACTGGTTTTATTGATTTGATTTAACTCAAACAAATAGGCTAGTTTCATGGAGATTATGACCACAAATCTTACGGAAGCAGGTTTTTGGAGAACCTTTTAAATAATGAAACCCACTGTCTTAGAGCGAACCACTAATCTCCATGTTCCTTCTGTTGACGGGAGATTGTTCATATGTCTTTTGTGAAGTTCGGTGTTTTTATTTCGTGATTAAGAGATGTATGAAAATACGTTTTCAGCAATAAGAATGCTGGGAGTGCGAGAGCTTAAACAAATTATTTCGGCTTGATAAACGTTCTACCTTTTCGGAGGCCAGCAACCGCGTGCCAAATTTGTCGGCGCGACATAGTGTTAACTCTTCCACTGAAAACAAATTGCCATGCAGGCTATTTTATTTCGCAAATTTTGTAAAGTTAAATGTTCGACATAAGTCTGACGAAGTTAAAATTCGCAGGACGGGCATTCCTTTTGTGCCAGAAAAAGTAACACCGCTCGTGGGCTCTCTAGTAGTTTTCAGCAGACCTATGGTTGATTTGTTACGTCTGTGCAACATATTGTGATTATGGCGGAATTTTGCAACATATTCAGTTGGGGAGTATTTTAATTCGAATATGGATGAGTCTCGTTTGCCAAATGCTGGCGATTGGGATTTCACTATAAATAAATTTGACTGAATGGAGCTCGAAATCTGCGCCCAACTGGCGAGCCCCAATGAGGGCGGAGCAGTCTGTGGCATTCTGGTTGATGTGTTACTTGTAAACCGAGCTTTTCGTGCCCTAGAAATCCTGTGGATTGAACGGAATGCAATTTTCGTATGATCAGATTAAAAATGAAACAAGAGATCTCAGCTAAACCCAAGCGTTTGCGCGAATGATTACAGTGAATCCAATTCGTGCTTTATTTTTTGCTAAACGTTTCAGGTTCCCACATTAGTTTGTGTAGCGCAAAATGTCTCACAACTGCGTAAACGCCATAGTAATAGGAAGATTTATCGATGTGACCTAGTAATTTGTAGACGTAAGCTCACTTGTGTGCACACTCGATCTTCGTAGCAGCCTTCAGCGTCAACGGGCAGCCACGGAATTCGTGGTGTGGCGGAAAAATATCATGGAAACTCTCCGGAAAATCCACTCTGAACGGAACATTCAAATTATCCTTGGGCGATTCGCCCCCATCCTCACAGTGAACTTTTAGCTTGAAAATAACTGGGTCGGGAAGAACGAATTAAATTGCATATTTTTCCTTAGGCGGGGTTGATTGCCGTCAGGCTTTGTGGCTCCCTACTTGAATATGCCGGGTCCTGAAGTAAATTCTGGCGGTCTAGGATCCAAACAATTCCTTCGACGACAATTTGGACTGCGGTATCCCCAACAATCTATGAATTCCGTTCCAAGCTCTAGAGGTTGGTTGTAGATTCGCCTTGACCAAATTCACATTAATTCCGTGGAGGAAAAAAGTTGATTACGTTGTTTGTCATAGTTGGAACAGAAGGTACATGCCCCGCAGAACTGGTTCGTTTCATTGAGTTGACTCGTACACACGTTCGCTGGCAGCTGCGTGTAGTCCGGTGGACAGTCGCCTATGGTTACCGCGGGCAATAGCACCACAATATTGTGGATACCGCTGAAAATGCCGTTCCCGTATTCCGGCTTGACGCCAACCACGATGTTTATACGAGATTCATATGAGTTTGGTGAGGCCACCCAATGAAAATTCCTCTGAGGTGTTCTTTGGTTGGTCCGATTTGCGAACTCTTGTTTCCGTTTGGTTGATGGACTTATTGCCTCTTTGTTCTTTGGCCTTCGACTGTTTTATCGTTTTCCGTGTTTGTTGCGTGATTTTGTTTGTCATTGTTGTTGGTTTGTTTGTATGTCGTTATTTTGTTATATTTCATTGCGTTCCTTTGAACAATTGAGTGTCACCTCGCGGTTGTCACGTTCGTTGTGTTTCGAGTACACCATCATCGTTGTCGAAATCAAAAGTGCTCTCTGGGCCAACCCAACGGCCGAAAGCAGAATAAGTCCTACTATTGAGTGATTGCTTCCTCGTTGTAGAACTCGTTCAGACTTGGCCCGTCTCACAATCCAAAGCCTAATTAGTGTTATTTTCCGACCACGTGTCCTGTATACTGCCTTGATTATCCCTACCTCTCTCGTGCATTTGAGATATGGCAGTGCATCCACTCTATAGAAGTAACTTCGGTTCTCAGCTTTGCTGAGAACGCCCAAACAGTCCACGTCTTGTTTCGTCCTTCACGAATCATGGAATCAGATTTTACTTGCCAGTGCCTAGTGTTGGTGTTATTTATGCTGATGCATTGTAACGGTGTCCTTGCTGCTCGTTCCCCGGGTTTTCGCCACTGTCTAAGTTGAGCTTGTTCTCCGGTAACTGCGCGTACGTCTTGCTTGCGATTTCGGGCCAGGTCCATATATTTTCGGGTATCCGCATCGCCGAATGAATAGACGTACGCCCGCAACGCGAGTTCATATGTGACCCGACCTGCTGCATTGCGTTGTCAGTTACGACACTTCCTCACTTCACGAACCCTCTGAATATATTCTGTGCACCTTCTCTGTTGACCATATACACTGTCGCTCTGCACGTGCCTTAGTCCTGCTGCCTGACTGCCTCCTTGCCGGTTCAAAAAGATTGTGCTATTACTGATTCTAGGTATTGCTAACTTTGCGCTCTTCATTAACCATAAAACAATTTCTCGAGAATCTCCAATACAGAATCTGGTACCCTCGTCGGTCTGTTCCTACAGCCAACAGAATAAAAAAGGCGTGGAATCCGATAGCTGCTATCGCCCGATGATTGCTTTAGCTGACCCTTTCTGATTTTCCTAATAACCGAACATGACATCGTCTCGAATTCTTGATTGTCCGTCCCAAATTCATTCATTATTGCATAGTCGAACCTGAACCAGCTGGAGACAACGTACACCCGGTAAATTTTTATATACGGTAGACTGTACCGAAGTGAATTGTAACCCAATTAGAAGCTCAGTGTTTACGAGAGACCTGCTAGAAGTGAATAGCAGGCAACTCAACCAGGATACCGAGAAGTTTTAGTCGGCCAGATTGACAGTAGTCTACTCTCCAGGTTACCACTTATCATTGCCGAGAAATATGTTGGCATAGAGGAGAATGTCGGTAGCTCAGGTAGCCCAGATGGTCGTTGGCTTGTTCGCTGAGCTGGACAACATGATTGTAAATGTTTCACTACCAGTCGAGGTGATATTATCAGTGAGTATTTGCGCGTAGCGATGGGTTAGTGGTTGTGCGCTCAGTATTTTTACGTGTGTGTTGATATAGGTTATATTATCAGTGAGTATTTGCGCGTAGCGAAGGGTTAGTGGTTGTGCGCTGTGTAGTGTTACGCGTGTTGATATAGGTGCCGGTAGCCGGGTATGACCTTTGGCCGCGATTAGGCATTCGGTCGGGCGGTTCCATTGGTTATTCTTTTAACATGTGTCGCCATTCGATGATGCCAGATGAGTGAATGAATTTACTTGATAGTTCAGGTGAATGATTACACCTGACATTGTTAAGCGGTTCACAAGAAGCGATGCATCATGCAGTTGGAAATTTTGGTGGAACCTCAACAAACTGAGTTTCGTGGAACGTCTCTCTTAAGTATGTGCTGACGACTATCATCAGCGCCGAGGCAATTGTCCTTGGCGTTATTCGTCCACTGAAGTACTTTGGATGCGGTGGGCTAGAACCACCTGACATGTGATGCCAATGTCTCATCACTGACAACGCTTAGTTGGTTCTAGTTCTCGCAGGGATATCGCGTTCATTCTCCACTTATTTGTATTCAACATTTGGGACACAAGGGTTTTCTGTGTTTGTGGTACATTATGCTTCCATTCCAATTTGTCGCTGGTGTTCAGCGAACGTTGCAAAACGTCGAATCTTGGCGTGGCCTTCGTTACGCGAATAAGCATAACATGGAGTTTCTGAAGGATCAGCAGAAGCCAGCAGATCAATGATGCACTACATA